GTATTTTGACATAATAATACATATATTTCAGAGGGAACTGACCTGTCGATAACAATAGTATCGTCAGATGCACATAGCATTCATCCGAACGCGGACGGGCAGAAGCCAGAAAAAGCGTATGATGATAATGTGGACACCATCTATGCCCCAAAAGATGGCGTTGAGTTTAGTAAAGAGAACTGGGTGGAATTCAATTTAGGAGAGATATATTCCATCACAAAGATAGTAGTCATCAATAGGATCGATTGTTGCACTTACTTACTTAGCAACACTGAGGTAAATGTCGTCAACACAGGAACTGGTGAAAAATCTCTATGTGGAGTCATTAATGTTAATAGCAATTCAAAAACAGTAGAGGATCAAACATACACATTCTATTGCAATCTGGTTGGAGATCAGGTCATGATGACCGATAGGGATAAAACGGCACGAACAACACTGTCTTTCGCAGAGATCGATGTGTTTTATTCTCCTTCTGGTAAGTATAACAGTAACTTAATATACAGTTTTTACAACTTTTTCATTATGTTCTATATATAATGTATACAAAAAAGAGCTATATTAAAATTATTTGAAGGTACAGCGGCTGAAAAAATTGCATGCTTAATTTATAAATCATCATCATCACTTACTTTTCAGCAACATCAGAGGAACCGCAAGAGATAACTTCAATAACAGCAACCCAATCTAAAACAAAAGATCATAGTGATGAGGATAACTTTTCTGCGGACAAGTCCTTTGACAATGACCTCTCCACTGCAGCTTTCTCGTTTGGAGAAGATGTATGGCTCAACCTTGCTCTGGATAAAATCTATTTCATCGACGAAGTGGTGGTCTTCAGCCAGTTTTTCACGGCTTGGTTTGTAGAAAAAGATCTCTGCACCACGAGCTTGGAGCAATTCAAGGCGTGTAAGGAGGAACAATCTGGGGCCACTGTTATGGTCTATCAAGGGAATAATCGTAAACAAAAAGCTTGCGGCCAACTCGATCTCCACGATACACTGACGAGAGAAGAGCAAACTTACAGAATTGAATGCAACTGGAAGGGAGACAATGTCAAATTCTACAAGGCTACTGGAGATCTAGTAATACATGAAGTGGCTGTCATTGGATGGGAAATGGGTAGGTTCAAATTAAAAAGAATACTTTATTACTATTTTAACTTCTTGAATGGTATCCAAAACTTTGGCTAGGGCCAACGTTTTGGGTACAACTGCAAAATAAATACAAAATAAAACAAAACTGACTCAAACAATCGATCATATAAATAATGATAATCTCAATACTTGTACTCCACACTTATACTCCTCCAAATACGAACTCTCTGCTGTGCTGGTGCAACGAGCGACACTTTACTTCGCTATGGGGTGGTCAGAAGATGTGATGGGCGATGGCCCCGTCAAGTCTTGACGAAACTCAACATAGGTAGGTAGGTTGTGAGAAGAATTGTTATTAGAGAAAGTTGTGATGGGGTCTGTGATGAAGTCTTGAACATTACTAAAGCTCTGATGAAGTCTTGAGCATTCCTGAAGCTATGTTTGACTGACAGTATTACACTGATAACACAAGTTTACACATCGCTACTTTCAGGTTTAGTTGAGGTCAGTAACTAAATTCCAACTTTCTGCTTCATTCTTTAACTTGTATTATAAGTAGGAGTACACTCCCATAATTTAGATGCCCAACTATCAATGTGGGCGTGGCTATCATACCGGGGCGTGGTATGAGAGTCGAATTGACATCACCAGTGGGGCATTGAAATCAATGAACTCAAAACTCAAGCAGTCATCTTTGGTAAGAAAGCGTTAAAACAGGACGTACAAAACATCAAATTTACACTCAACGGATCTAATCTTGAAATTGTCGACAGTTATTGTTACCTTGGATTTGAACTTCATCAATCGGGTCAAGTGCAGATCGCTCAACAAAACCTTAAAACCAAAGCAATGCGTGCATTTTTTGGCCTGAAAAGGGTTGTCATGCGATCAAAGTTATCTTTTAAAGCACTCCTTACACTGTTCGACTCTCTCATCAAGCCCATTTTATTATATGGTGCTCCAATATGGACACCCACTAGTACGATCAACAAATCTCTTTGCAAAACGATTAACTCGACAGAAGCAACCGCTACTAACTTACTTAAAAAAATCAGCGCCTCTCTGCAAGAAAGAGTGCATATTTCATTCCTAAAATGGGCATTGGGAGTCCATCGTAAAGCATCAAATGTAGGTGTATGGGGAGAGACAGGAAGAATTCCTCTGATTTATCAATCAATTCGCTTAACATTAAATTACTTCAAAAGGCTAAATACAAAATCAAAGTCGAATTCGTTTGTAACTGCAGCCGTAAAAGAACAAAAATCACTAAACTTACCTTGGTATCGATACATAAAACCCCTCCTTGAACTAGATGAAATTTACAAACTAGATCACGTAACCGCGCACCGAATTCTCAATACAAATGCAGCCAACAAAGCCGAGCCCAACCCTGTAAGTGATCACAAATTATTAAAAGACTCCCTCAAAAATCAGTCAAATTTTAGTCAATGTATCAAACCACTATGCAGCAAAAAGTATAGAATTCCTAACATCATCGAAGCTCTAACCAATCAATTCAAAAAATGTTGGGAATATCAGAAATCTACTTCTTCTAAACTCTCATTCTATCACTCAATCAAACACACCTTTAAACGAGAGCCCTACTTACACTTATGCAAAGGCTTCTCTCGTCGTTATAGCACCACAAAACTTAGAATCAGCGCCCATGATCTCCATATTGAAAAAGGCAGATACTCCAACACACCCCGTGAGCAAAGACTATGTGCTTGGTGTCAATCAAGTATGGGTGTCGAGACCATCGAAGATGAGTCACATGTTCTCTATATATGTGACTTGTATTCAAAACAGAGGTCGAAATTAGTCAAAAATCTTTCTCAAATGCCACCCATTGAAATAAGCACTGAAATCACTGACTCAAGCAATATCAATGAAACAAATCTCAAAGTCCATCTTATGGAAATTTTGTCTCCTAACTCAACTGTAATTCCTCAAAATCACCAGAGCCTCCATATTCACTGCCACCGTTCACTTAATATTCAACCAAACACCCCACAGTATATTCAATTTCAAGAAAGGCGCTCCTATGCTGTCAACTGTGTGTGCACTTATTTCCTTCGCTGCTCCGAAGAGCGAAATAGCTTCACCGAAGATATGCGTCAACGTAATTCAAATGCACGAAACTTAAACAATTTTACTATCAACTTGGTGAGAACCTCGCGAATTAGTCATAATTAAGATTTAAGGATAACCCTGGCCCTGACTTCAAGGAAAGATGAATGTTTTCATTAATCTCTGTACAATTATGACGGTCCATGATAATGGATCTATAATTTAATTTTAATCCTGTGTAATCCTGTGTAAATCCTGTGTAATCCAATCGCTTTTTTGGATCAATAAACATTAGTTTCGACCCCTACTTATTTTGTTGTTTCAACATGAATTTATTTTCGTAACAGGTAAAATTTTCCCTATATTGTATAAAAGGGTGTGGCTAGAAAATTTAAACACACACATTTTTGTCTACCCCAATTACTTGATTATTAAGCGTGCTTTAAATTCACCTGAATTGAAATGTCAGTAAGAAGGCCCAGTCGATCGGATTAATTTATTTTTAGTAAAACACCTTTACAACAAATCGACCAAGATAGAAAAACTAAACCAGCTTTATCATAATACCTTATTATGTTTCTTTTATTTAAGTTTCCGTTATCATGATCTAGAAAGAGAAAAAAAAGAAGAATTGGGGCGATAAGCTACAATACTACAGTACTCCACTACCGTCTTAATAAACTATAAGTTGCAATCGAATAATTGAATTATTAAAAAGTTGAACAAATTATACGATAAAAAGTTTTTTCATGACTAGAATTATGAAAATTTAAAGTCATGATCATTTTTTGCATGACTAGAATTATGCAAATTTAAAGTCGTGATCGTTTCTGCAGTTTTCGTGCACATCATAATCGTGTGAACCACGCATCATTGTCTCGGTTGCCGTTAGCTCATAGCTGTAAACATTGCTGAAAGGGAATCTCTTCTTTAATAGTTACTGAATAAACTGATGCATACTACTGTGAAAAATTTTGCATATATTTTCAAATCTTTAACTTGGTATTTTGTTTAAAATTAGTAGTAGTACCTGACATGTAGACAAATTTATCATGCGACGTTATGAAGCAAAACACGTACACATGTCCGTTCCACGTGAAAGAAAGTTATCGTTAAAATTAATTAATCTATTCTGATTTATCATGAATTTAACAAAATTTGTAGTCTATATTATATAATGCAGAATGATATCCAGTTTGCAAGATTTGCAGTATAAGCATGCTGCATGCACTAGGTGGAGTTAAACTTGGACATGCACGAAAAGTGAAAATATTGAAAAATATTTAAACTACCTATGCTACAGAGAAAGACTAACATTCTCTTTCACTATAATAATAGTATAAATACTAAATAGGGGGCACCGTTTGATTATTACTGACTCAATTGTGTCTAGGAGAAAACGTTCTCTTTGATTCTTTAGTTAACCTGTAAAATAAATTCGCCGCTCTTCCGTAGTCAGATTTTTAATGCTCACAATTCATAAGTCTGAAATATATTTCTTTCCATTAAGATTTATTCGATCTATAGTCTATACTTTATAGTCTATACTTATAGTCTACACTTCATACTTTAGCTGTACACAAACGCAAGAAACTGATATCCACTTGATTTATATCTGTGATTTTTTATCCTTTTAGCTAATAAAAGAAAATGTTAAAATAAAGAAAAAAAATCATCGCTCAACATGCTAAATTGCGGTAGCAATTTAAGTAATCGCTCAGATGGGTTTAGCTCTGTGAGGTACCTAGGGCTAGTGTTACTGTAACATACATATATTCGCATTTATAATATGAAATGAATTTTCACTTAAAGTTAAACCGAATTATTTTGTTCAGCAAGAAATCTATAATGAAGTCTGTTATTTTCGTTGCTCTCGTACTGTTGTACACTGTTAATGCCGGTAAGATTTGTTAAATTTAACTAATCAATATTCGAAATGTTTTCTAACATCTAACTAAAAACGGGCTAATTAATTTCCTAAAACTAAGTTACTGACTGGTCGTACCATTTCTAATATAAATAATAGTTATATTGTAATAATATTGTTATATCACATAGAAAGAGTACAGCAATACTAATACAACATTTATTACAGGAAAAGTCGTGAAGAGGGACAATCATGAGGATGAGGCAGACAGCGAAGGTAAGATTGTATTTTGTAATTGCAATGGTAAAATATAATACGACCATGATTGATACTTTATCACTCATGTATAGTAACTAACTATACTACTAAGACAAACTATCTCACAAAAAACTACCTCACAGTAATTGTTAATTCTATACACGATACAAATTAAAAAGGAGCAATTTCAAAAAAAAATCGTCTAACACCAACTTTCTCTCCCAGACGCATACTCATGTGTCCAGGGACCTGATGGCAAGGTTGAGTCCTCTGACTGTGAAGCTGGAGATAAATGCTCTTCCCCCACATTCGTGGACTACCAAGGCTACAACTCTGAGGTAGAATGGGGATGTGGATGTGCTGATGGTGTTGATGACTGTGACGAATGTGAAAATGAAGATGGTGCCTCCGGATGTAACGCTGATAAATCACAGAAGTTTGAGTGCTATAACCACTCCTGGAACGCTGAGAGCGCCGCCTGGGAAGCCGTTGCCGAAGCCACATCTTGTCACGTCAGCGCCGAAACCGATGTCAAATGTAACAGGTAAATCAAATCCATCCAAGACCATTTGAAAACTTTCCTGAATCTAACACTTACATGTAAATTTGAACGATCAATTTTTCATTATTTCCTGTGCATGCTATGCAATAAATTCCAATCTCATCTAATTTCAGCCCCGCACCCCTCGCTCTTGAAGATGAATGGGAAAGCTTTCAATCTGGATGTGGACCTTGTGCCAATGACGAGAATGAGAAATGTGTGTCTTGTGAAGGTGATGGTTGCAACTCTGCTGCTGCCCTGGCTGCTTTCTTCCTCCCTTTGATGGCTGCCCTTTACGCACTCATGTAAACTCTTTGAAGAGCTTACTTATACTTAGTACGATTATAGTACGATATAGCTACTTTATGTTTAGCGTGGGGTATTATCAAAATCAATGTTTTGTAGTTTTATCTAATGTTTAAATGCCCACGTAGGTGCTTTCAAAAAGTCATATTTACTTTACTGTTTTGAAATATATAATGCTTCTATCGTTATTTTTTGTGAATTAATTGAATTGAAAAAAAAATCACTGATTATCATTTCTATCAAAACTACATAAGATTACATGTAATATCCGGATCGGAACATTATTTATTAGTCGCATAGTTGTAATGTTTCTGGGGTAAAATTTGCATTGATCCCGTTTATTGCGACAAGGAAGAGGCTCTTATCAGGAAAATACAGGGAAAAAATGTGTAATTATGACTCGGCTAGTTAACTCTTCTTAACTATCTGTCAAATGCTACCACAGACTTTAAATTGCTTAATGTTCTAGCATGAGGAAATGAACACTTTAAAACAATTCAAACCGGGAAAAATATTTTTATGCATGCGAGTGTCTTTACAGTCTACATGTAAGTTTCAAGAAAGAACATTTTCTTGCCTTGATTTCAATCAATGTTAAATCCATTACTGAGCTGAGAACGGTTGCAATAATTCACGATTCACGTTACATTATTGTTAGTTATCACTCAATAATTCGGTATCAAGTAAAAATAATATTCGGAAAAAGTAATTTAGCAATACCTCAGCTTTTTAGTAAATTATATTGGTGTTTAGAAATCAGGGGATAAATTCGAAAATTTGCAACCATAATCCATCCGAGATAATGGATTAGACTGCAATCTAATGATAACTGATAGCGATAAGCGGTCCCGGCTGGCTCAACGACCTAAATTAAATTATATAAAGTATGAAGCTGTTCATTAGCCTTTTAAATAACCTCCAGAATACTATCAAGTATCGTACTGGCTCAAATCGATTAAATAGATTGAAATGATCGTTTGGTTTAATGAAACATACGATTATATTTTAAGATAAACAAAGAAAGTCTATTTTTGTTCACAGCTATTGAGTTTGTTAACCACTACGTGTTTCGCTTCTTTATCCTCGTCCTGTCCTTCTAGCTTCTTCTTCCTTGATAATATATCAACATCTCCAGGAGTTTCAGGAACAGATCTTCCCGTGGTGTCAGGAAGGAACCAGACCGCCACACATGCCAGCAAAGATAAACCCGCAAACAGGGCTAAAGGCACCCTCCTGTCTGTCAGCCCATACAGCAAGTTAATGTAGGGACCAATGAAGCTGCCTATCCTGGCACAGCTGGAGCAGAGACACATTATCATGCCCCGGTGTGATGTCGGAGCTAATTCTCCAGAATACAAGTACATCATGATGAAAGCAGCTCCAGATCCCATGCTTCCAATAATGCTGGCCAATGTTTCTAGACTCCAATCATGGGTGAACTTGATGTCCAGCGAGGCGATCGCATTCATGACAATAACCAGTGCAAAGAAGAAGAGTGTAGCCCTTTTACGTCCGAGATATTGGCAGCAGGGAACACAGATTACAAAAGATATCCCCTCACCCAGAGATGAAAAACAGTAGATACTGTGCAGATCATTGCCCATCTTGCTCCATCCAAACTGATAACTGTAAGAAACCACGGCAGCACTGAACCAAGCAATCATTCCGATGAGAGTCTCCTTTAGCATAGTTGGGTGGTATTTGAAATCTTTGACCTGCTGTAGGTAGGACTGATTCCTCTCTTCATAAACCAAATCAACATTGTCAAGGGAGACTTTGCTGCCATTCATTTTGGCCAGTAGCCGTAGAGTTTTCTTCGCTTCTTCCTCTCTACCCTTCATCAAGGAGAACCTCGGGGACTCAGGGAGAGGAAGTAAAAAGAAGGGAAGAATTGCAACAGCATTCACGCAGGCAACAGCTACATAAACATATTGCCACTGATGAATAAAGTAGCTGATTCCAATCAGCGCAAAAACCCCAACAGACCACCCAAGAGTGTAGAGATTACTGATATGGTTTCTCAGATATGTAGGTGCCAGTTCAACAATCCAACAGTACGATCCCATGTAAGTAATACTTTGCCCTAATCCGTATATCAGACGGAGGAGAAGCAAGACCAAATAATTGTTAGCGACAGAACTGACAGAAACGGCAACCAATACCATAAAGCTGCCTATTGTTGCTCCTCTCTTTCGGCCTAGCCTCTCATACAAACCAGTAGAGCAAATAAGACCGAGAAATGTGCCTATAAAGAATACACTGGATAACACAGACAACTTAGCTTCATTTTTACAGTAAAAGTCCCATTCCATGGAAAAGGTTTTCATCTTCGATGTCCACTTGAAGTCTGATCCTGCGACTAAATCATTTTTGCACATGTTTTCGTAAGAGTAGAAGTCTTCAGAAGACCCAGCTGATATCAGGAGATTAGAACATGTTTTAGACAGACAAGTCCATTCGTTGTAAGGGATGTGGCCGGTGAAAACTGTCAAGTACGTAGCAGAACCAGTGTTAACGATCGTTAAGCACGCAGCACCAAATATCAACACCATTTTCAAAGTCACTTTGACAACAACACGATCAATCGCTTCTTCTATAGTAAGAGTCTCTCTCGAGGAATCATTGGCTTTGAAGATTTCGGAGTCACCCGCAGCCAGAGCTGCGTCAGCATGAACCACCATCAGAACTACCTTGAGAATCAACCAAGACGACAAAAAGTTTTAACAGAATTAATGTGGTACGAGAAGTTATGAAACCATGCTAGATTTTACAAGTTAATCTCATTGTCTAAAGCTGATTGAGTAAAAAATTAAAATTCTAATCTTATGAAGGAAAATTATAAAGGAGAGCCATTACTAGTAGGTCATTGTTATCCTAAAAGCTGATTGGTTAGATAATTTCTAGTCGTGAATGACCAAATTAGCACTAGTACAGATAAATATTAAGGTTGCAAATTGATCAGGGGTGTTTATCTTAATCTTATCAATGAAAAAAAATTGTTCAAAATCACAAATGTTCTCCATCAGATAATTGGTAAATTACCTGAGTAATTTTGATATTTGTTGGATATCTTGATCACACGACTCTCAACGGTACGTTATATTTCCAGTGTTGTCGTTAAAAAGGAACAAAGGTAAAAACACTAAAATAGCAGTTTTTGATTGAATTTTTGTTCAAAGGTGGATATTTAAAAAGTTTAGTTCTGTAGTTTTCAATTATAGTGACAGATGATACTACATTCTTCATCGCCGATTCAAATTGTACCAAGTAAGCTTAATTAAGCATAAGTGAAATCGCCACCAGCAGGTCTTCAGTGCGGTTGAAAATGAAACACTTTTAATGTATGTGTACATCAGTTTGACACATTCATCTTGTATCATGTACAATATACATAGCCACTGGCAACTCTGATTTGAACCTCCTACCACACATTTCTTACTGCGTTCCCTGGACAAAACATTACGAATCACAATTTTGTTGAAAATAAATTTTGTTAAAGAGTCTGACTCAAATTTTACTTCGATAATTTCAACCACACATTAAGTAACTGGCTAATTACACGAAGCCGAAGGACCTAACAAGACTAGCGACGGTGAAGCTAATGTGTACCAGACTTTGTTCGCTCGTAGCTTCTCTACTCAAGTGTTGCTCCTCGATTTAACCCCGTTCACGGTTTGCCGATCACTCGGCTGAGTCGACCGTGGGGGCTGTATACCCAACCAATCTTTAGCTCAACCCAAGGATTGGTGACACAGGCGGGCTTCGAACTTGTAACCTTTCGATTACGAGCAGTACAACATACAAGCTACCATTAGACAACCAATCCATTGAACTAACGACCCAAAATCCGGAATGATTTACTATTTTGTCCTTCTCATTTAACAACGATGAAAATAACTTTACGAAATTTAAAGGGCTTAGACTAATTATACTCCATGAAAATGAGACGAAGCATGCTTTTATCGTGGTATTAGTGAAACCACCAACTCTTAACTAGGACTACGCGGTGACATCCAGTCTCAATGTAATTAATCATACTAAGAAATCACTTAGTGAGTCTTATCCTAGCGATGATTTCAGCTATCCTGTTTTGCATAATTTTGGGGTCTATCGACCATACAGGCACACATCGGAGTTGTGCCTCTAAAGGGAGATGTAACAAACAGACTCGATGCAGTTTGAGATCTTTTGTTCTACTTACCTTACTCGGGATTGTTACGACGGGTTTATTAACGACCGGTTAAAATATGGTTCGGGAAAAATATGGCGAAATTGCTCAAAACCCACCACATTTTCCCGGTCGCCATTTTACCGGTGTCCAACCTTTCAATTTTAGATTCAAATATTTTGTCTCATATGTAAATTTCCTTATTAGAGATAAGCAGGTTCAGAAATTTTCGCATTGCTAAAACTTGTGAAACAAGTCGAATTATCAATAATTGTTGAAAGTAGACTCTAGCAAATTCGTTGTTTTGAATTAGCATTACATGTTTACGTGTATCAAATAACCATTATGACTCAATTTGTAGAAAATCTTCGAAAGAATGCATCGTTCACATTGTTTAGAATTATGAATAAATGACTGATGAAACTGATTCATGTTATTGACCGTTTTAATTAATTCGAGTTTTAATTTAACTGTTACTTTTACTTTGAGTCCTATTTCATTATGTAGAGATAGTCAATACCTAAGAAATTAAAAATTGGCCTATTTAAATCAACTTTGACAATAAGGATATATGACAAGAATTGGGCAAAAAGGTGAATTTTTTGCAATTTTAGCCAAATGAAGTCGAAAAACCTACAACAAGTGTCCCAATAGTCTTCTTTAGTGAATATAAGACAACCATTAAAATATGAGCACCCATACCCCTTGGGAACCCTAAAAGCTGAGTCGGCGGGTTTATTAACGACCGGTGAAAATGTGGTTCGGGAAAAATATGGCGAAATTACCCTAAACCCGCCACTTTATCCCGGTCATAATAATCCCGAGTAAGGTAAGCGTTGGGATCGCCTGCTCTGTACTTTAGTAACATTCGCACAATTATATACGACTTGATAATATGGTGCAACATTTGCTTCTTTTCAGACTTCTAGAAATATCTTTACATCAATCTTAGTTCGGGTGTTATACTTTCAACGTCACAATGCTGCCACCTTACTACATATTATTATCCAACTTCTACTTATTGAGGCGTTTCTGAGGTCCATAAACTGGCTGACTAAGACTACAGCTCGAAGATTTTCCGTGCGTTTATACTCTGTTTGTATTGCACATTGCGGCTGTTTAGCATTAGAATTAAGGAACTGGCGTTTAACCATCTGCCATTACACATTCTGCGTCCGACAGTAATTCTACTGCTCCGATTTACAGACGAGTCTGAAAACTCAAAGTATGTAAGATTTTGTATTTTGTTTGTACTTCTACTTCTTGTTTAGAATTTGCACTTGCCAGCTAGCTTCATCAGGTTCGCGAGCTTGAAACGTTCTTTGATATAGTCACTGTTAAGGGAACTGTAGTTCTTAGAAGGAGTTAGGACTGTACTTCATTGGATTGTTGAGATCGATAAGTTAGCGTAAAACTCTGCTGCCGAGGAAATGTGATTTCCCTCCAGAAGCTAATGCTTTCTAGATCACCCATTGATAAACGTTTACTGCCTACACTAATTCAAAAGCCCAGCAGCTTCACTGTTGAAGTTACAAATTGTAGCAACATGTCCGCGATGTTATCCTCTGGTTTGGTTTAGCTTTAGCTGGTATGTATTTCCTGTTGGATCGATAACACGGCTTATAGTAAGCTGAGATGATATTACTAATCAATCACAAGATCCACACAATTTTTGTCACGTGACAGTAAAGCGGAACTACTCCACTCATTTATCAGTAAAGACAGCACTTTTTACCAGGAAAATAAACAAAAACAAACCTCCAGCAATCAGCATGTACCTTCAACTGTATGTGACCAATGACATCGTCATTACAACCATCTACAACCTTGTCTAACCAATCAAATGTCGCTACACCGGGCACGTGAAGTGATTGAAGCAGGTTGTGGTTGACAGCTGCAGAGTGCAGCTGCATTTATGTGCATACACGGACGGACGTCGGATAGCCCGCGAGACGTGTTACTTATTAATCAGTTTTAATTATAATTTGCTCCGGGACCGTCGAACTAGATTGCTGATATTGCGTGTGGTTTTGTATTTGTTTGGCTCAAGTTACTTCTCGTTCATGATTTGAGATAAGAGTTAGAAATTTGTTTAGTAATAAGGTTGTGTCAATCAATTGGACGTTACTTTAAACTTGCTGGTGAATTACAGGCTGATAAAGGTCAGCTTCAAATGTGAACTTAATAAATACATTTACCAAGACGGTGACGTTATACATTTAGTCTACTCTCCATTTCCTGATGTGAGAGTTGGTGAGTCTACCATGAACCATGACTCTGTTTGCAGGGACAGTGATGGTTACAGAATGGACCCAAGGGAACTTTCACCTGTAGCTAATAACGACTCTTGAGAAGTTCCATGCTTACAATAAGGTCCTATATCGGAAGAAAGATTCAATAGTTACCGATAGTGCTGTCTAGCACCCCACGGTGGAAACCTCGTCCGTGATAGGTCACACCTGGCCTTTATAATGATGAACACTCTGAAACAATGGACACAATGGAGACTTTTGAAAGACTAGGAACAAAGAGGCTTTGTTTCTGTCGTTCCCGGTTGGTTGATCCTAGGAAAGTTACCTGGAGTGAATAAGATAGTTTCTAATTCCATTGTGTGTCTCCGTAGCCGTAGTTTCGCGTCCTCTGCTGCAGGGCTTTGCAGGTTTGAGGTCGGGGTTGATATTTGGTATATGTTATTCTTAAACTGCTCATTGTCTGGAAGTCGAACTCGAAGGGGATAACCCAGTGGAACTAACGTTGGCACTGTCTAATGTTTATGGCCTCTTAGTTTTAGAGCCTCCCCAAAAACTACTTTCTCGTTCAGAGGGTAAAAACCTTCGGTGCAGATTTTAACGAGCAGACTCTGCTGCAAACTTGTCTGCTGAGTAGACTCGACAGACCTGCTTAACAGAACAATTGTCTGAGCATACTTGATAGACTTCTAGTATACTTGAGTTAGTTTCGCCATTTCTTACTCCGACAATATTGTAGGTTGACTCGAGCAGGCTTTAGACTCTGCCAGCTGAAGACGATTTACACAAGTATTTTGAAAGCTCACGCTAATAAAATCCTTTCGTATCACTTATAGGTTTTAAATATTCTCCTCCAGGCTCTGCCATAGCTTATATTTTACCCTAGTATAAAGCAAACTGTGTGCTCTTCAGCGCATATTGCGAGCGATTTAACCAAATGAAATTCATATAATCAGATAATACTAATACCTGTATCGGTGACGTGGATCTATTTTGTTAATATTAATAATTTTTGAAGCTAGATGAATCTTCTCGCCATGACAGGTGGACGAATAAAACTTTCAACACTACCATTAAACAAATAATTTGTGCTTCTTGGGAAGCTGTCGTGACAGGAAAATGTATCAATCTCCGATATTCCGTTTCATTAGCAAGTATATTATAAGTTCAGTATTCAGCTGTCAGTGTCGAGCAGAGGAGATCTAACAATCTCAGTGAATGTCAGAATCAATAATCATAGACTTCACTTCGTTGTATGCTCTTAAAAATCATCTATCCCCTTTC